CCCCAAAACCCCAAAACCCCAAAACCCCAAAACCCCTCCTAATTTCAGTTAATAGAAAAGTATTTAAAATATAACGCATTTACATTTCCTGATTCCGTCATTGTAAGGAACATCTTTTTCCTGCACAGATGGGTTGGATTTTGGAGCTATATAGCCAGATTACTCCTGTCAAAGAGTTTAAGGTGAATAGAATAGTAGCTTACCTGGTGCATTCATTAATGGTGGAACTTCACGTGTTGGTTTTTCTCCATTACCATTATTGCTACCCGATCCATGATTTTTTTTTGGACCTTCCTTTGATTTTAGAGAATTTTTATTGACTTCTTTAATCTTCTGAGCAGATGTTGGAGGCTCTGGCTTTGGGATATTGTCTAGAAGTCTGTACACCAGTACTAAAGGCACCCGTTGGGATGAGACTCAGTCCTCAACAATGTTAGCATAAGTATTTGACTTATAGATCGTTGTCTTGAGGTTTCTCCATTTTGAATCGATAAGCATATTGACTTCATTATTGCTTGTTTTAAAATCTTTATTCAGTCTATCAATAACTGCAACAAGTTCTGCATTTGCCTCAGAATCTTTGTGCTCTTCAGTAGGTAGAGAAGTGAGCAATTCAGTGTTGAAGCTAGACTCAACTGATGTCCAAATAGATTGGATATCCTCCCTTATAAGCGTGATATTGCTATAATCAAGCTTTATTACCAGAAATCTTTGGCCCATTGATGTGTAGACTGGGGAATTAATTTCATTTTGTGCCCGAACAGATACCAAAGTTTGCAGTAGTTTTGATTGTCCTTCAGACGTCTTAATTTCATCAAAAATGCCATCCATCCGAACAGGAAAGCTGTAATTGCAATAAGAGCTTGCATAACTGTCAGTAGTCTGACCTTTGAAATATGTATCGATGAAACTAGATCCATCACCCATAAGTTCAGATCCGAATTCCCCTTTCTTATCTACTTCTAAGTTTCTGATAGTTGTCAGGATCAGCTCAAGCATTCAGGCTTTTGTATCAGGACTTCCATAAAAAGTAGTGATTCCTTCTTCAAAATAATCTGAATCTAGAGTAAATATGAGAAAACTGATGAAATTATGTCTAAAATTACCAAGGATAGAGATCAGTGCTTCACTAGTGGGCAGGACAGGCAAGAATGATAATTCTGGATCATTTTCAGCTTGATATTTCTCTCATTTCTCCTTGAAGCTCAGAAAGACCTGCCCGATGGAGTCTGTAGCATCATCTTTCTTGTAATCAGCAGCTTTGATGACTAAATAAAATGATTAGTTTCATCAAAAAAGCTCAATTTTGTCGAGAGAATAAGACAGAGATAAATTGGTTAAATCACATCTGGTTGTTGCTTACAAAGATTCACTAGTCTTTCAGTTAAAGTTTCATATCCAACAGCTTGTCCTTCAAGGTTCAATAGAAGATGAAACACAGCATTAAGGTAGTGGTGCTCATATGGATTTGGCTCCTTCTTTATTGAAGTTAATGGAGCTCCATAGTAATTACAGATCGCTTTCTTGGTTTTCTTACTGTAAGCCAGCATCTATACGGATAATTAGACAATTTCCTGAAGAGTTAGGCATTCATAATAATAAGGAATTGTTAAGAAGAAATCAAATAGACACTAGTTGCCCAAATATGAATTTAGTAGTGATGATGACATACTTTCTTTATTTATATCTTGAAATCAATACTATTAGCTTAAAATGGGGTTTTGGGGTTTTGGGGTTTTGGGG